ACTTGTAACTTTATACAGACAAAGTACCATGGTAACAATTGTGGCAGAATACAAAGAAGAGCATAAACACAAATGTTGTCAATTGTACTTTGTGGAAAAGGTTCACCTTAAGTAGAAGGCATTATGTATTGAATGCAGATCAAGCAAAGAAAATGCAAGTGACACAGAAATGTATTGACCTGAAACAATTTCTCATTTTCAACAACTTGTGAGATCAAAAACACATGACTGCACAAATATAGAGTGGATCTGAAGTCAGAGAGAAGCACTAAGATTTAAATTGGGGAACTTGAAATTAGTAGAGTATTAAAATGGAGGATGTAGGGCTGTTTAAAAATTTTTTCTGGAAAGGCCAGGATGAACTGGAATTAAAAAGATGATAGAAAGGTAAAGTTAAATAGAATTGGGAAAAAGAGGAGAGAACGATGTGTATATATATATATATATATAAAGTTAATGCTCAGAGTTGAATTAGACTAAGAAACAGTAGTATTAAAAAAGTGCTCAATACACATATAAAAAGATAAAAATTTAACATGTAAAGCTTTTAAGTATAGAAAATTAGGAAATCAGCCAATTCCGCTACCTTGGTTCCAAACTTTTGGTATCTTCAGGTGATTTCAGTCAATCTATTTCCTAATGCTTTATTTTTTAAAAATAATAATTCTTGAATGCTATATTTAAAAAAAATAAATAAATAAATAAATATGTATACAACGTGAGGTGGAGGAGGAGGGGAAAATCAAGTGTATTGGAAACGTATTGGTGGAGGATTAAATGAAATATACATGTTCATTTTATCCCACTTCAAATGAACTCAAAAGAAACTTTTTAGCATGAATACAATAGGACATAACTTCTGATCTCTGATTTAAAAAGGTAATGGAATCAACTGATTTTCTAATTATATATATATATATATATATATATATATATATATATATGAGAGAGAGAGAGGTATTTAAACACCAAAGAGACCAAGTATCTCTTGACATTCAAAAACAATTGGCATAACAAAAAAGAAGAGAAAATGGTTAATGCTAATATTAACTGTTTCCTTATCAGGAAATATTCAACATCCATTGACCAAACACCATTGCTACTTTCGGATGAAATTTATAAAATCCATCTCTTAAAACAATTTTTCAGGAAAATAAATTTTTCAAGTCAACTGTTATCTCTCTTTCCAGTATTGATGGGTGGTGGTGGGGGTTCCTTCCTAATCTTTTGTTTTTTATAGTCCTTATTTTATCTTCAAGTTAATGTGATATCCATTTTAGTTGTTACTGTTGTTTAAAGTCATGTAGTGCTCTCAAGTTCCCAACTTGACCAAGAAGTCCTTATAAAAATTGGAGGGGGGGGTCAAATTTAGTGATGTAGGCTGGGTCAAAAACTTCTTCAAACTCCCTTGCACAATTACAGACTTCAACTGTCTGAATGATATTGTTTATATGTTTCTAATTAAATTTTATCCTTTTCATCTTTCAATTACATTATGCTAGTTCTTAGTTCAACAGATATTCAGGTAAATTTGAGCGGTTCAACAAGACTAGACTCAAGTCTTCAAGTGATTAAAGAGAATGAGCCAAGAATGTCATCAAAGCAATATAAGTGACAGTCAGCAATAAAGCCAGTGAGAAGAAAGCAGATATATTTTAAGGAACAGAACCAATCTGCCACAAGGAAAGTTGATTCACTGTGATGTGATAGATCATTTTTCTTGCCAGAATCCATCCTACACATTTATAAGTCAACCATTCATCTATGCATTGAATGTTGCTGCCATATCTGGTTTGGAGCTTCTGATATGTATTTAGAGATTCTTGATCAAATCCAAAAAAGATTCTAATATGTTATTGGTCCTGACCTGGCATCTCTGCTCCATTCACTTTCCCACTGCTGTAATGTAGCTTGTGAAATCACTCATACCTGCAGAAATAGCCTTCAGTTCACAGTAATAAAAACATACACAGAAATAACACTAAAAGCCTGTTAAATTGTAAATTAAAATCATACAATTTATTTATTTTTGTCTACTGGTGTTTGTGTATTTTAGTTATAATTGTTTTAAGGTTGCATGTAATAAAAGGAAGAAGTCACTTCATATTATGACAAGCAATGTCCTGAAGGGAGGAGATGGACCTCTTGACTTTAGTGAAGAGAGTGAATTCAGCATCTTTTGGTACAAAGTCAGTTTTCCATTTTCTTTCTGTTGCTTTCTGGGAGAACTTTTATTTTTATTTTTGATTTTATTTAATTTATTTCAGACAAGATTTTAATGTTATTTGTTTTATTTCTGATGTATTTTGGTTTGTTTTATTACTGTAGGGTTCACCCTGTACAAGGCCCAGGGGCCACTCAAGGTAGAGGGTTATGTTAAGGGGTAGTTTATATGGATAGGAGGGGAAGATAATGGTTGCCTCTAGACTTGAATAGGTTAAAATTGTAGTGACCAAGGAAACAACCTCCAGGGAGTGTGTTCCACAGGGCAGTGGTTCACGGGAAGAAGCTGTTTGAGTGGAACTTACTTTTTGCCAATGGAATATGGAGGGAATGTGGGTGGTTTGCTACTATGTGAGTAGCATGATGGGTCATTGCTATGAAGATCTGACCTGGTGGAACCAGGAGATGCAGATCGTCCAAGCACTTCCCATGGTAGTAGTGATAGAGCAGTGAGAGACTCACTACATCCCACCTGTGAGAGAGAGAGGTTGGAGTTTGGAGAATAATTATTTTCCCACGAGGACATGGAGACACTTTTGAAATCTATGAAGACTGGAAAGTGAGGTCTGGGTAGCTCCTGCCCAGATATGGCAACAGTACTCCATTTTTGGCCTGATCTGGTTCTTATAAAGGTAGATGATAGTATGAGGAGTCAGGTACTTACTGGAACAGAACAGGGAGCCAATCATTTCATCTGCATCTTTAGTGATGGACTGCTTATAGGAATTCCACTTGAGGTCAAGTGTGTGTGTTTGAGGCTCAATATCCTCTTGAGGCACGGGACCTCCTTGGTGGGGACATTCATTCATCATGGTAGTTTGGGATCTGATCAGTGGTGATGGAATGTAACCAGTTTGGTTTTAGAGTATCGAATGTAACCAGACAGTTTTTCTCCACTGAGAAGTTAGTGTTAGATTGGAAGAGAGGTCAGCTGCCAATCTCTGATCATCAAGACTTTTAGAGGTGCACCTATATATTGATGTATCATTGACATAAATATTTACAAATATTCATTATTATAATTATTATCTTATATTTTTATTTATTGATAATAATAATGTCCCTACAAGTTTTTCTGTGCCTTTTCTATAAATATTTTTATGGTCATTGTTCTGATGAACTTTCCTCTATTGTAACCTCAACTGTGAATTTAAGTGCATTACTAGATTGGTGGTGAGATTTCATCATCTTACAGTCAAAATGGCAAGATGTAACCCTAAGTTCTATGCTAACAGTTTCTTTTCTCGCTTGTGGAACTATCTTCTGATTTCTTACTTTGCAGTCAAGTTTAATCTTCAAAAAGTTAAATGTAATATCAATAATTATCTTCTGTCTTAATTCCTGTTCTTTTATTTTCTCTCTCCCTAATGTTTTTTTTTTCATATTCTTTCAGATTCAGTAATGCTTTGCATCTTAGTGGCTTTATTGCCTTGCTTAGGGTGAAAAAAAAGTACACAAAGTAGCATTAAATCCTTTCCTATTTTTTCTATTTCCAGTTGGAAGCCACAATAAAATATCTTCATATTTCCTCACTTCCTGTAAACCCTAGGATTACATGATTTGATTTTGTCATGCAAATAGACAATGGACTTTAAAACTAGACAAGTGTCACCTTGTATGTTTTTTAACCTAATGTTAACTCTTGGTTCCCCTTGCTACATATTCAGACTGATCTGATTGGCTGAAAAAAATCTTCAAGCTCTTCCTACCAACTGAACCATAGTTTCATAAATGAAGTTGGATGACAAACACTGCTTAATATACCAGCTGAAATAAACATTTGATTTATTAAATTTTTAAGCCTGTTTTCTTGCCATTTCCTAGTTTGATCCTGAAACAGGGACAATATAACTAGGAATTGAGATTTATTTCCTATCACATATGAGAAATATGAAAATGAATTAATACAGGAAATGATTCCACTAGTATGTTTAGGAATATTTTGAAAACATTCCCTAGTTGAAGTTTCTTTGAAATTTGTTTAAAAGTTCACTTTTGTACTGAAATAATCAGGAAAAAAATTGGGTTCTTAAAATATTTTCCTTTATTTCCACCTTGCAAATGTGCAAAACTGATATAAGGTGTCTCTAATGGAATTTGAACTCTACCAATTCTGTTTTTCAAGACAGGCTTACTGCCACATCATATTGAAATAATTGTCACCGTACAATCACCTAAGTTAAGCTGTGTCAAGTGTAGTCAGTACTTAGATGGTTGACTGCTTTGCAGTTGGTGTAATGGATAATGGCTCAGAATTGTTAATTTGAGAACCGAGTTCCAATTCTAATTGGGTTCATTATATTCACTTATGTGCAAAAACCCTTGGGAAATGTATGAATTCACCTCTTCTTCCCCAGCTTTGGGTTAATTAGTAAGACTTGTATCACTGAACCATTATTATCTCTTAAACTAAAATAAAATTGTGTATAAATAACCCATAGTGGTGTTGATACGCCACTAAACAAAAACAACCAAACCACTATCCAAGTCAATAACATCTCCCATCTCAGACCTCTGCTTCCAAAATTCAGTATTTACTAAGTTTAACAGGCACATGGGCATAAATCTAATGTACCAAGTGAGGTTTGAACACAGTACAATAGTTATTGTCTATAAAATTGTCTATATATTGCTTTATAACAAGGTGCCTATTAATGTGTAATTCATTAATCACAATCCAGGCATTTGATGATCACATCTGTTTTGGGAATCTTTTTGCATTAAAATATGGTTTCCAAAGTTTTAACAGGAAAAATGATATATAATTCTGTATTTACCATAAGACATCAAGGCCACTCCATGCAGCAACCCGTTCTGGTAAAGTCTTCATATTCAGAGGATCAATCAGGCCAAGAAGAGGGCGGAGAGAACGATTTGAAATGCCTGAGAGGGAATAAAACAAAGAATAATTCAAAACAATAATAGCCACTTTTAACATTTTGGGATTCAATAAAAGACAAACAAGTGTTCTGCATGGCACATCAATTATTTGGACTAGTATTCTTATCTTTGTTGTATGGATGCATACAAACTAATTGGTATGCTATCTGGTTTTCTAACAATTTCAAGCTCTGTGATTCCATGAATTATTTAGTCTAGTATTTTCATTGTTGTTTCAGTTATGTTTTCTAAGTTTTCATGCTATTGCTTGAGGTATCTTAGAATCTTATCATTTTTGAATTATGCCATAACCATTTCAGTTACTAATGATATAAAGAAGCGGCAGGGTTCTTAACCTTTTCTTTTTTCTTTTGATTAAAATTCACAATGTATTTCTCATTATTGAGTCATAGTAGTTTTTTCTGTAATTGTGATAAAATATTTTTATTAGTACATATTTTTGTTCCTATTTTTATATTATTTTATTACTTTTTACCACATTTTTGAATGTCAATCTATTCTTTGGTTATTTAAATAAATGTGTGTGAAGTAAGAACTAAGAAATGACAGAAATACATTGATAGACAAAATGAAAATAACCATGTTTGGATATATAACCAATTTGCCTCTACTCTTCAATACTATCTACAGCAAATCTTTGAAACTATTTAGACACATTAAAAGATCTAGGTTGAGGGTATGGCACCTGGAAAAAGAAGTAGAGGGTAACTGAGACAGAGATGAAGGGATAACATAATTCTGTGGCAGACACGGAATAAGCATACTCAAGATCATTATAAATGACAAGAAATAAGTCAGTTTAGTTTGAAATTTGCCAGACAGAAACAGTGACTAAGGATGAAGGTACTAAATAAGTAGTTAGATAGAAATCCACACTTACCAGTTTTAGCTTGGAGTTTGTCAAATCCAAAAATAGCTGTCCCAGTTGTTTCACTTCCTGTTCCTGCTGTTGTAGGAACTGTTAAAATATTCAGAATAAATTCAGTTCAATGAGAAAAAAAATTAACCAAAGAGAAGGAAAATCTTTTTAAGACCTAATAATTTTGCTAGAATTACACCATTCTAAGATGGAACTGCTATAAATCTTTCAAAACAAAACACTAAAGACAATTTTCATGCTCCCTAAAACTTTTGAAATTTGAACAATGTGTGCTTGAATGTACAATAGGCTTTTGCTGCTACCTTTTTTATAGTGTACACTTTGTGAGTCTGTTTTACTGTGGGTTGAGTTGAGAACTTTTCAGTACCCCCTCATACAATAAATCCATTAAAAGGAGTTTTATTTAATATTAACATCTTCCTCATTTTATCAGGATTATCAAAATATATATGAGTTGGAATCAAATATAAACCAAATATGGATCAGAATATAACAAAATGATAAGATAATGAACAAATAGGAAATGTTTATCAATCTAACATGTTTCACTTTTATTAAAGCTTCATCAGACAATGAGATATATGAGAAAAAGAAGAAAGAAATTCTGGTATTTTTATTTTTGTGTTGTTTGATCTTCATTGGTTAATCATGTTTCACATGCTTTTGACTTGTTAAACAAATGTTAGTATAATTTGTGGCATTCCAAAGGAATGGCAATGTGTCCATTTGAAGTTTAAAGAAATTAACAGATTCCAAACCTAACTGAAAAAGCATAAATATTGCTAAATAAATATCTATATAAGTGTATATTAATTCTAGTTTCTCTATGTGGGATGATAATGGATATTCATATTTTCTCTATGTGGGATGATAATGTATATTCATAAGTGTGTGTGCGTGTGTCAAGTAGACATTATGTTTTGGTTTTTCACATGTTGATTTGGGAATGTTTTTACATACATATCATTTATTCTAGATTCTTTAATAATAAAGGTTGGTGATATGTTTTTGACATGTATATATCATATGATAAAAATATAGTTTTAAGGTATGTTATATTTATGGTCAAAATTGATCAATATCAAAGCATATGTAAATATAAACATGTACACTGAAGACAACCCTAACATTGCACTTAAGCATGAAACAAATTGTCACCACTTGATATTGAATTCAGTGTCCAATTTTATATATATATATATATATATATATATATACACATACACATACTTATTAAGTGTAGCTTCACATAGCTTAAGACCAACAAAATGGAAGGAAATGTATATAGAAAAACTAAGTGGTGTCATAATATTTTTGCATATTATTTTAATTAAAAAATGGTGCATTTTCTTTTTAAAAGAAACTAGCAAACTAATTTTTAAAAATATTTCTAAAAATCAAACCAAAAAAAGCCAAGAAAATAAAGTCTTACTTGCAATAAGTGGCTTCACTGTATGCATGATTGGCAGACCTTTTCCAATTGGAGCATTAACGTAGTCCAAGAAATCAGCAGATGGATTTGAAGAATATAAATTAGCAGCTTTACAAGTGTCCATCGCTGAGCCACCACCAATGGCAAGAAAAGCATCAAAGTTTCCTTCTTTGGCAAAATCAATCGCTTTTTTGAAGCTGAAGAAACAAAAGACATTATAGGTATCAACAATGAAAGTCTAACAGAGAAATTCATTAAGTTCACTAAATTTTGATGTGAATATATTTAACTCCACAATTTTGGCTTGTCTTTATTTCATTCTTTCATTTCATTGCAACTTTTTCAATCAAATATTTACCAACTGTCAAAAGAAAACATCATGAAATAAGAATAAAGAAGCAAATATAAATAGCATTTAGTTTAATGAGAAATAGCCCAAGAAATTAATTATGTTTAGTCATTTTAATACAAATCTATTTGACTTACTGTAAATACTCAAGTATAGTGTGAGATTTATGATCAGTTTTTTATGCAAAAATAGGGGTCCTAACTGATAATATTTTTGAAAAGGTTAAAAATCATTCATTTACAGTGATCAGTTACACTATACAGAAGTAATTTTTTCTGGATTAGTTAAATTTCACGCAAAGAAAAAAAATTAATGGGTCATACTATGTATGAAGTTGGTTTATACACAAATTTTTAATTTATTATACTTCCAACTAATGAATAAACATACTTTTCATATCATTAACTGCACACATATACATAATAACTAAATATGCATAGAAAACAGAAAAAAAAATTTAATAGAAATAAATCCCATTTATCCATTTTAATGTGTGAAAAAAGTATTTGTACAATACAAAAAAAAATATATAATCTTCATTTAATTATTTATAGATGAGCTATTATTCATCTCTACAGCAACCAAACTCTTCTTGTAGTTCTCAATTAAATATTTGCAAATTTTAGTTGGTATTTTGTTCCATTCTTCTTTGCATATGGTCTTCAGATCCAGTATGTTTTTGGAGCTCTAAATGGGATTCAGGATATTTACATTATTTTTAGCAAGCCATTTCTTTGTAGATTTTGCAGTGTGCCTAGGATCATTATCTTGCTGGAAGATTCAATCAGGAGTTTGTTCAAGATTTTCAACCAAAATCATTAAATTTGCTTAAATTTCAATATGCTGTGGCATTCATTCTACCATCTATTACTGATATGTTTCCAGTACCTTTTGCAAAAAAAACATCTCCAAACCATGATGCTGCCACCATCAAATTTCACTGTTGGAATTGTGTTCTTTTGTTTGAAGACACTGCCATCCTTCCATACATGTTTTCTAGAATTACATCCAAACAACTCAGTTTTGGTTTCATCTGTCCATAATACTCTACCCATTATGATTTTCCTTTATCCTTATGTTCACAAAAGAATTTCAACCTGACATCTCTGTCTTAGCAGTGGAGTTTTCTGAGGGGAACATGACTTTAGATTGTTCCTATGAATTTTATTGCTTTTTGTCCAATTGGTGACACAGATTCCTTATGAAAGTAAATCATCCTGCAAATCTTGATGGGTAACCATTGGATTTTGATTAATTTGAGACATTAACTTCCTCGAAGATCTTGCAGACATCTTCCATGGAGCACCAGTTCTTCTTTGGTTTCCAACAGTTCTGAGTTTTTTATACCTTGCAATGAATGAACTAATGGTAGTAAATGGAATATTTGGGTTGTCTGAAATTTTCCTGTAACTTTTACCTTCTTTCCAGAACTTAACAATCAGTTCTTTTAGCAAATTTGTCAATCCTTTACCTGTTGCTATGATGATAACCTTCTTGCACAAATATCAATTACAGAACGTTCTGCTTGTATTTTTTTAGGTTAATAATAACTACTGATAACATTATTGGAACATTCTAGAATATTCCACTTGAATAATCTAGAGTATTAAAGCAATTTAAAAGTTTTAAAATGTTAAATTTGCATTGTACGAATCCTTTTTTCACCCATTAAAATGGATAAATGGGATTTATTTCTATTAAATCAATTTTTTTTTCTGTTTTCTATGCATATTTAGTTATTATGCATCTGTGTGCAGTTAATGCTATGAAAAGTATATTTATTCATTAGTTGGAAGTATAATAGATTAAAAATTTGTATGTAATGTATATGAATATTTGTTTTCCCCCCCTACTATATATATATAAGGTCATCCCATAAGTTCTGTCCAAATTTTGAATAAATGTGACCAAATGTTACATTTAATTACAGATTCAATCAACAATATATTTTCCCTGATTATCTATGACTTCCTTCCATCTATCAACAAGCTTACTAACTCCATTACTGTAAAATTCTTTTGACTTTGATTCGAAGAACTCACAAATATCAGTTTTAACCTCTTCCTGTGTTACAAAAGCTGTTTCTTCCAAATTATTCTGTAAGCTATGAAACAAATGGTAGTCTGAAGGAGCAAGATCGAGAGAATAAGGTTGATGAGGAATTTTCTCCCAACCAAGTTCTTTGATCTTTTGTGACATGATTCTTGCTGTGTGGGGTCACGCATTGTCCTGATGAAACCACCTCTTTTCGATCCACTAGAGCAGGTCTTTTTTTCCTCAAAGCTTGGTTCAAATGCTCTAATTGCTGACAGTATATTTGAGCATTAATTGTTGCATTAGGTGGTAAGAATTCAAAGTGGATTATTCCCTGGTGATCCCACCAGATTGAAAGAAGAACCTTTTGCCTATGAAGTTCCCTTCTCGGCTGTGGCTCGGGTCCTTCCCCTTTACCAAGCCACTGTCTACGACGCTTAACATTTCGATAAAAGATCCATTTTTCGTCGCCAGTCACAAGTCTATCCAAAAAGGTGAAACAAGTTGCCGAAAATGGAGAGAAGAGCAGATGTCAACTCAGGATTTGAGGTTGTTTTCAGACAATTCATGATGCACCCATTTTCCAAGTTTAGAAACTTTTCCAAGTTGTTGAAGATGACAATGAACAATTGTATGGTTTGAATTGAGAACCACTGCCAATTCCTCAACTGATAAAGCAGGATTTTCTTCAAAGGCTGCTTCAAGAAGCTTTTCATCAAACTCAACTGAACGTCCGGTTCAATCTTCATCTTCAAGGGTGAAATCTCCACCTCTGAATTTTGCAAACCATCTTCTGCAAGTTCTTTCATTCACACATTCCTCTCCATAAACTGAGTGAATGTTTCTAGCCGCTTCAGCTGCTGAGTTTCTTTTCTTGAACTCATAAAGCATTATGTGCCTCAAAAGATTCTTGGGTACTTCCATGTTAGCAGGGTTTTAATCAAACAAAATTTAATTTTATTGTTCTCTGAGATAAAATTTGATCAGTTTAAATGCATCTAAAAAAAAAATAATGTTCAGTTCCATTAGACATTATAAAATACTCTTTAAATTTCGTTCATTTTAACAAAAGTTAAAATTCGGACAGAACTTATGGGATGACCTTTATATATATATATATATATATATATATATATATATATATATATATATATATAAATAAATGCACAATGTGTAAAAAATACTGTGGTTCGGAATCAAATGAAGTATATATATATATATTTGGTTAGATTGATGTGAGTTTTGACCCAAAATTTCACGCTTTTGTGAAACAGAGTTTGTCTAACGATCAAAAAAAAAAAAAACCCAGAGTCACAAAACTCACATCAATCAAAACCAAATATGTTATATATATCTATCTCTGATATTGAGTGCTTTCTAAAAAGTATTTTTATATATATATATAAATAATATATATATATATTATATATATTATTTATAGAGGAAACACTTTTCTCATATATATATTAATCATGATCATGAGTCCCATAACCCATTATGATGGGGGAGAAGAGATGGATTTATAACTTTCCAAAGGGTATTAACATGTGTGTGAATGTAATGAAATCAACTGGAATTCAAACTCAGTTCTCCAATTCCTTGATCTGAGCTACCCTTTACTCCACTGTACCTCCAGCTATATATATTGATATAATGGAATATGCATACACCTGTGTTCCCCCTCACTGGAATATGATTGGCTGGTGTCTGTCATAAATACTGATGGATGTGTAGGTAGGACAGAGTCAAAGAGCCTTAGTCTGAGAGCTAAGTCTATAACAGCACCCATTGGACTACACTTCTTACCTGTGACTATGATGCGTATCAGTCAATTACTGCTACCGTATTCTACTCGGTTATAGTAGCCAAAACCACTTAGCTACTTCATTCAAATATATCCCTTTCTGGGACATATATATATATATATATATATATATATATATATATATATATATATACTGGGTATACATGTTTAGATACACAAGTCTGTGTTTTTGTTGTTTTTTTTTTACTTTTTTAAGCAGTGAAATTAATGTCTGCCATCTTAGAGATAAAAAAAAAATGTGCTTGCTTCCTACAGCTTCATGGCAAAACATACTTGGCTTGAAAGTTAAATAATTTTTTAGATTAAAAATGGAATACAGGTTTGATTCCAGTCAGGAGGCATATTTATTTTACTAAGACTTTATCTCTAAGTTAGTAGACATTATTTTCAATGTTTTAAAAAAGAGAGATGTCTACTCTAATGTGAAAATTTATCAGAGATCTATTTAAAATATATTATATATATATATATATATATATATATATATATATATATATATATATATATTTATTTACTAATTAAATTTTGATCTCTTGAAGTCTAGAATTAGCTGTTATCTTTCCTGCATACCCCCAAGAACTTTACTTCTTGCCCTTTTTTGCACTAATACAACTCTACACAGTAACCCTCTACATTGAGTGGGTCTTGGGCCTTGAATTGGGTGAACATTAGTAAATAAAAAAATATATGTTTTGAACAATAAAAATTATTAAAAAACTAAAATTTTCAAACACACTGGGTTGTATATTAATATCTTTTTGTTTTATTATTTCAATTAGGTTCCTCAACTAGTTCTGGCCAGCATCAGGAGAAAAATTCTTGCTTGTTAGTAACAGTGAACTACAGGAATTAATGACTTTCTGAAGAAAATGAACTTTATCTGTAGTTTTCATTTGTTTTTTTATTGTTAATTTTGGTCAGTTTTTGTGTTGGTCAAACAACCTCTTTTAAGTTGTTTTTAAGATAAAGGCTGTCGAGATTCATGTGACTCAGAATTCCATGGTCATTTTGACAGTTTTATTGGTTGCTGGGAAAGGGATGTGTGCCGTGTTATGTGTATGTTATTTGTTCTTTGGGAGTGTGTGTGATGTAAGTGTTTATATGTGTGCAAGTGACAGACCTCAACACTTCCACAAGCATGTCTATCTTGTGTGGATGAGAAATCAGGGTAGGGCTTAATTTATGGGGTTATATATTAATTCTATCTATGTTGTTAAATTTGTCATTAAACCCATCTGGACGCAGTGTTTTGAGGTGCAAAATCCATTTGTCTTCATCTTCCTCTAGAATTTTTTTGACATTATCTTTTCTGTCTATTTCTATTTTTTTAATTATAGTGAATTTGGCATGGCTTTTAAAAATTATGTTTTTCGAGGTGAAAATGTTGTTCTCTAGGTAATAATCTTTTATTGGGAACTGACTTGATCCAATTACAATAATTATTAATTCTGTAGTGAAAGAGGCATTCAAATTTTCCCCACATAGTTTCTGGCATAGTGTGCATTCTAATAGGTAAATTATGTTATGACTTCTACAGTTAGAGTTGTGATAGATTTTGAAAGTAGATTTAGTGACTGATCTAGTGAACGAATTGGTGTGTTTAATGTGGTTACAGCATAAGCTCCAATTGTTACATGGTTGGGAAAATCCTGTTGTTTTTAATTTTGGTCTATTAGAAATTATCTTATCATCTGAAATTTGGTTACTACCTATAATTTTCTTAAGGTTCTTAGGTCCACAATATGCTAGAAGGCCAGGTTCCTCAAGCAAAATTTTTAGGTCTGGTTTGAGATGTAGTATTTGCCAGTGACTTTTAATTATTGGAGATAGTGGAGGAAGAGTGGCGTTAAAAGTGGTTACTAGAGGGATGCATCTGGATTTATTTTTAATTTTGTACATTAGGGTGTCTTCTCTAGGTGTGGAAATTGCGTTAGTTATTTGTTCCCTGATTAGTTGTTGTTTACAGCCATGTGTTGTGGATTCATACTCAACATTTTGAGCGTGTTTATTTAGTTTTTCATTATTGGAATATATTCTTCTGAGTAATTATGCTTTGAATAGGGAAGGTTCTTCCTGATCATTTGTTTAGGTTTAAAGTTTTAAAAAACGTGTGTGTGTGTATGTATATATATATATATATATATATATATATATATATATATATATATATATATATATATATATATATATATATATATATATATACACAAAATATAAAATGGACATTGAGGTGTTTTAACCCAGTGATGACAGTCTGTTTCATACTTAAACACAACTTGTTATATTTACATATGATCACTTTAACAGATAAATATAGCATAAATTTAAGTAAAAAATTCTTTATTTTTTTTTCATGTGTGTGTGTGTGTGTGTATATATATATATATATATATATATATATATATATATATATATATATATGTGTGTGTGTGAGTGTGTGTGTGTTTTAAACAAAAAATATTAAAAAAATTAAAATTTTCAGACACACTGGGTTGTATATTAATATTTTTTTGTTTTATTACTTCAACTTGGTTTCTCAAATAGTTTCAGCCAGCATGGCCATCATCAAGAGAAAAAAAAATTCTTGCTTGTTAGTAGCTGTGAACTACAGGAATGAATGACTTTCTGAAGAAAATGAATTCTATCTGTAGTTTTCAATTGTTTTTTTATCGTTAATTTTGGTCAGTCTTTGTGTTGGTCAAACGGCCTCTTTTAAGTTGTTTTTAAGATAAAGGCTATGGAGGAACAGTGGTCCCTGCTTTATATGACTGACAAGGTACTGTGATTAAGCTAAAATTTGATGTAATTAATGTAAAATTTGATTGTTTTCAAATCTAAAGTTTACTGGCAAGTAAGTCACATATGGAACATATAATTGATGCATTTTCAGGCCCCACATAACCTTTAATGTATGACTTATGCCTTTCATAAAATACAATTTTTTACTCGTTTGCAGCATAGTAATAATAATATCATAAATAGAAACTAAAAGTATTTAGAGCTTGAGATATATATATAATTATTTATTTAAAAATATGATTCCAACACGCTACATAAGAGTTCTCATGTTTCAAAACAAGAGCCAAAAACTTCAATATAATTATTTGAATTAAATTGAATTAAAGTACTAAGCTCTGTTCCATCTGCAAGCGAAATTTTTTAAATTTTTTTTGACTTGACATCTGTGAATGTAACTGAGATATTGATACAAATTATTAACACCTTACGCCCCTTTTCTTTAAACAATTGCTCTAGCCGTTACCATAGAAATTTTGATTTCAATAATGAATATACTTATAAAACGTGTAAATTTCAGAAATAAGTTATTTCAAAAACAAAAAAAAATTTTGTAGGGAAAATGTGTGAGGAAGTCAACTATCTGCGTGAGGGATTGAGAAATTGAAAAATTAAGGGTTTGAATGCCTGCAAGGTCAGTAGTAGTGTTTTTAAGCCACCTGGTATGATGAGTGTTAAAATCACCAAACACGAATATGTGAGCGAATGGATGGAGAGAGAGAGCCTTGTCGATGCTCTCAGAAATGCATTCGATTAATCCACAGTCTTGGGAGGATGGAGAGCAATAAAGGAAGAAGAGGTAGCTTACAGTATTGAGAAGAGATAGCCGGAGACACTTGTATAGATGGTCTGGAGATTCAAGAGACAGCTCTCTAGCCAGTGGGAGATGGTCCTTGACATAAACTCCAAAGCCATGCATGTGGGTTTGAGAGTCTTTTCTAAGGAGAGGAAGGTAGCTGGAGATTGAGAGGTCAGAGGAGGGGATAGACAAGTCAAGGTTGGTCCCACAGAGAGCCAGTATATCCGGAGGATGCATCTTATTTTTGAAGTGCATGCTGAAATTCAATTATCACCCCTAAATTTGTTCCATTCATTGAAAATACCATATAGAAAATTTTAAGGCGATTACATAATATTTAGAGGGCACCTTTGCTTGTTAAAACTTAAAAGGTGGACAAAAAAAAATCTATTAACCATTTTTAGTTGAATCTTTACAAATTATATGAATTAGAAAACTATTTTTTATCTTGCCAATTATGGCAAGTGTATCCAATGCCAAACAGAAAAAGTGTAGTTTGGAAGTATTTTAAGATTTCTGATGATAACCAAAGTAATATGACAATTGTAGCTAAGTACTTAAGAGATTTATGTAAAGAAATTGTTCTCTTTATTAAACTCTTATGCAATTTTTTTAAATAAAAATGATATTTAACTTTATTTCATAAGCTTTGTATTCATTTTTCTACTAAATGTTTTATTAATAAATGTAATGTGTTCATTAAGTTTCCCAAACTAACTGTAAGACCTGAAAATAATGAATTTTAATTATTATAGGTATTGGAATTGTATTAGTATCGGAAATTGTATTGGAATCGGTAAAAATAGTGGTATCGTCCCATCACTAATTAAAAAGCAAAGAATGTTAAAACAAAGTGGGGAAAGATGCACAAGGGAGGTAACTGTGTATTGCTTAATGTGAAGGAGGAGGAGCAATTTGGCCATCAGTACCTCCTACCTTTCATCAGAGGGTTCCACTTTGATGTCAGTAAACATTTTATAGTTCAGTTTCTCATCTTCCAGGGATTGAAGTGCCATGTGAACACCCAGGGTATCTATTAAACGTTTATCTGTCATCACACAGATGTTCTTAGAATGCAAATTTTTGAAATCCTGAAAGGATATTAAACAAAAAACAATAACAAAAAAAAAAAAAAAAAATCAATGAGGATTCTTTTATTTATCAAATAATAGTTTTCTTATTTTTTTCTTAGCTCCAAACAGAAGTAGTATATTGTATCATGCTACTACAATGGTAGCCTATTGCATTTAACTTTTATGCATTTCAAGTAATTCAAGATTCATGTCTTGTAAAATTAACATACTAATTACTGGATTATGAATTAGACACAGCTGAAACATTTTTTGGTTTTCACCCAATACAAGGCCCAAGAGTCACTCAAAGTAGAGGGTTACTGTGTAGTGTTGTATGAGCATAAAAGAAAAGCAAGAAGTGAAGTTCATGTGGCTATGCTGAAAAGATAATAGCCAACTCTAGAGGTGAAGATTGTTATGATTGGGAAAACTCAAGAAAATGAACAGACTACTACTCCTGTTCAAAAAAGTGGGGAGGAGTGTAAATTGGACAATAGGCAAACCTATCTACTCCTGTTGAACCCCAGAAAAAAGATATTTGTTATTCTTAAGAAGGCATGGTGGTGTAATGGATAGCGGCTTGGATTGAGGAATCAGAGAGAGAGTTTGAATTCCAATCGAATCCATTACATTCACTTATGTGCTAATACACTTGGGAAAGGGTATGAATCCTCTTCTCCTTCGAGCCATGGATAAATAGCAGGACAGACTGGGTTCTATAGCCTTGGATAGCAACTGGTCTACTGCAGAAAGAAATGGCAACCTACTGCGGAAAAAAATCTGCCTCGTCAGTCATGTATTAAAAGATACATGATCACCTAAGCGTGTATCATGCATAGCACATAACTGACTCACTATTCAGTAACAGGGATATCTTTTTTTCTGGGATCTACAGAAATTAGTTAATTTAGTTTCTAATTGATTTAATATTTTATTAAACATCCCATGTTTTTCAAATTCTAAAATGCTTTATGAATGTTCTTATTTATAATAAAGTATATCAATAAATATAAATATCAGTTGACACTGAAAATTAAGTTGCTACTTGGCATACCATTTATGCTGTTATCACTGTTAATCTAATATTTAAAAATGACACTGCCAAGAGGATATTGTGGCACTATATGATGACAAGTTAACTCTTTAGCATTCAACAGGTTCACACCTGACCTCTAAATATCAGCTCTCAAAAGGTCTCACTGTTTGTGGTTAAAGTCTCACTGCATGACTTCCTGTGTTATTTGCAATGATGTCATCATATAATATGGCAGAAGTATCTGGAGCAGGTTACGGCTGGTTGAATATTGAGAGCCATGACTGCCCACATCCTGAAGGGACATGGCACATAGAAGAAGTATCAAATTGTGGTAAAATTATTTAAAAAAAAGAAAAACAAAAAGGAGTTTTGGCAATCTGAAACTTTTGTGCCTGCAAAAAAACTGTGTCAAAAGAATGTTATTTTCCTTTGATACCGCTATTATTTTAAATACCTTCATTCCTCAGCAATGTTTAAAAAACAATGATTAGAACTGTAATAAAACATATGAAAGTAAATTTGTACATTTACTTTATTCTTCAAATTGACAACAAAAATAATAACTTTTATTTATTATATTGTTTATTGGAATGGTTGGTAAAACTGGCTATTTGACAATCAATTTGAACTTTATAAAATTGTAAATAATAAGGATTTCCTTATAGTTGGTTTACATATTTTAATGAAATAAAGCTCTATATTTTTTATGAATAAAAAATTTTCATAATTATTTTTTTTATATATATTGGTAAATGATAAAAATTGCATTGCATTAGTTTTAATACAATTGTAGTAGTTTTTAGAAAGTTGAAAATATAAAATTATTCTTGTAACTGAACAATTGTAGCAAGAGACAAAAAGTTATCTCCCCTTAACCCAAAACAAAAATAGCAATAAAATTAATTATAAATATTCACGAGAATATAAAACAGTCATATGATCTAATGAGATCCACACAAGACATCATTAGGCGAGAAAGTGAATCTTTCACTTTTCTATCCATGAAGTTATAGAAACAGGATGTATACAATTTTGGGCTCGTGACAAACCAAACAGATAAGTACAAAAATTCATATTGTTTTTGGTACATAGTCTTTTGCAAGTAGATATATGCTAACCTTGTATTAAGAATTTCAAATATGAAATATATATAGGCAAGTGTTTTTTTATACAAAGATTTTGGGTTTTATTTGAACTTTTCATATATTTACGTTGCCATGTGTTTCATTCACTTTAAATGAGGTCAATGTTTTATATCCCGCACAACACAATCTAATAATAGTGTTTAATATTTTTGTTGTAAATTCTCAAGCTCAAAAAGAAATGTATAAATTCACTTTCATTATACGTTTAGGTATTATTACACTTCTAATCATCGATTTTTTTGATGAGGAGTGAAAATAGTTAAAATAATAGCAGTGCCGAAGAAAAAACTGTCCTTTTGACATATCATTTATTTGCGGGAACAATAGTTAAAGATTGCCAAAGTTGCTTATACCACTTAGATTTTTCTTTTCAATTTCGGCTGAGTTTGAAAAAAAAAAAAAAAAAGATATAAAATTTTGTAACATTTTTGCTTTAGGCCTGCTGTGGTAAAATAACTGCATACTTCTCTTCTATGCCAATAATCTGTGTTTATGAAAAAACAACATTTTGAATAATGAATTTTTAAGAAAGGCAGCCATCTTTCCTTATAAGATTGGTTTCCTTCAATTGTAATCAGCTGTGTTTAGTAAATATTCTAGAAACAAATGAAAATTTTAATTTGACAACTTTCTGAAAAAAAATTGGGATCCAAGATAAGAGAACAATGACATTCAAGACCGATCAAACGTTCTTTTCATCAGTTACTAATTTCTCTCTTTAAGAAATTGTTAAATATTCTATTCTCAAGTGGTTGGCAGTAGAAGACACACAAAAAACAGAATCCATCATGCGAACCAAGAAGATTATAGGGGTGACCCAAATCAATCGGGCTGGCCTAGGCAACACAAGCTATCAGTTTTTCTCTAAACAGGGTCCAAAAGGAAAACAAGACATGGTGATTGAAGAAATCAGGAAGAGCAGCGAACAGCTACTGCTTTTTCTCAGTCCATATAATAAAGTTCTTGGATTATATGGAGTGATATTGATCTGATGAAGCTATCATGGAATACCCTGATTGCAATAGAGCTATTGGCAATATCATTCCCCCTGCAATCTACATATGATCTCCTACCAAATGTGACCAAACTCAAGTTGTAGATGTATGTGCATTATGTTAAAGTGATGGAAGCATTTTATGACATGTGCCCTCTACATGCCCACAATCATTGCAGATGTACATGTGGCATCATAAAGTGCTGGAAGTGGTCATGGACTTAATCAGTACACAGTGTGAAGCAGCCAATAAACAGCGTGTAATGGCCAGAGAACCTAAGATCCATTTTCACAAAAATGGTGAATGCTCTGTGCGGAAAACCAAAATATCTCCCAACATGATTCTACTGAGCTCGTGATTAGGAGGTGTTAGTTGATCTGACAACACCGCTGCAATTTCTGCTACACATCATCCAGACAGACACACACTCTGACATTGTAGCATGGTCTGATTCAAAGTTTGTCCTCCTAGTAGAATTAACAGTTGTGTGTTAAGAGAACTGGGAGGAGGTACACAAGAAAAACTGCTATATATCATTGTGATCTGACTGTATGGAAAAGGGGCAGACATGCCATGTGCTACCTATTGAGGTCAGGTGCCATGGATTCCTTGAACAATCAATCATTTCTTTCCTTTTAAGGGTGGGCATCACTGAAGAGTGCTTCACATTGTCTCCAAACCACAGTTCAACAGGCATTGATTTGGATCTGGTCAAGATCCAAAATAAACAAATTTAATCAAAACAATACTATTTCCAACGTGAAACACACTGATAACGGATACTGTGAGCATGTTTTGTTTTATTTAATGATCAAAAGCAAACTCTTTTAAGACAATGTTGAAAATGCAGTTGCATAAAAATCGTAGAGACTGACATGTCTGCACAAAAAAAAAAAAAAATACCCTAATGGCAAAAGCTGCCGGTGGCATCAGGGGAGTCAGTACCACCTTAGCCACCAAAATTGGGTTACCTCTCCTGGTTGGCAGCTGATGAGAGCAGGTATTGCACATGCCTTCACACAGTGTATGTAGAAAATCTACTCTCAAACAAGTAACAAAAATATATTCATGAACCTTTTGAAATAAAAAAAAGAAAGAATAAACCAATTATCTACAACTAATTGTTACTTCTTAATATTTAAGTCTGAATCTTTATGTCTTCAACCTGAACTACATCACCAGCACAAAGATTACTGAAACAAGTTTATTCAAAAAAGGATTTTTTTAACCTTTGAAAAAGACATACTTCAACTGGTTTGTATATTATTTTTTCACTTTTAAGCTAGAATAAAAATATGAATTAAATCTTTTATTTCTTGAAATAAATTTTATTTAAAAACAAATACCAAATAATACTAATCATAATAATCAATTTTATTTAAAATTCCTAGTTAAATAGTTTTTTAAAAATAGTAAATAATAATTAATTGTATTTAAAATACCAAATAAAAATAAATTTTACTTAAAAATACTAAATAATACATAAATAAAATTTATTAAAAAATAATATATAATAATAATAAAATGCATTTTAAATAATAATCATAATAATGAAATCACAAATATTAGGTTGTTACATATATTCATTTGTTTTTGTTGTGATGTAATGTCCCACACTCCCTATCACCTATGTGGACTGACTATATCAGTAGATATATATAGTAAGCCCAGAATATACCTGGTGGACTTGCTTCGGGAATTAGTTGGAGATTCGTCTCCAGCTAAGCTAGTCAAACTCTCTGCCTTCAGGTAGAGAGGAACCCAGAAGAGGCTCTGCCCTTCAGCATAGCCTCGTCTGGGGTGGTAGACAGCTACCCGACCCCGTTTTTTACAGGGTCTACAGGGAATTTTTGCCTGAGCCTACAGGCTCAGTTTTACCCCGCATTAAAAAAAGGCCTTGTGCCACATCCTGCCCCGCGGGGTGGTGAAGTAAATAACCTTGCTTCAGGAATTACTAGCTTGTTAACCGATTCCCTGTTTTTCAGTAGTGTATTCTTTTTTACAATAAACCTCTCTTTCTTTCTTTCATCTATGTCCATGTTGCTGTTCCTTTCACTTGAGTACCACCTTTGTCTGTTTGTAACTGTCTTTAAGGATACAACAGTTTTTTTCTGATGTTCTGTGAATGATCTCTAAGAATGATCTTTCATAGCATTTTTTGCTTCTTAGTAACTCTGGTCATCCTGCGAAACTATGTATAACATTAGTGAGATGGAATACCAAGTAGACAAGAATGAACATGTTCAACATCTTCACTTTGCTTTTAATCGAGCTGCTCGAGACATTTGTGTTGTGTATGGAGATGACTTCATTTCTGACAAAATGACACAGAAATGGATTTTCCTGTTTCAAGGAAGGGAAGTTCAGATTCACAGACTTTCTGTGTTCTAGTTAACCTGTTCAGTTTGAGGAGAACCAACTGCATGCACTGATTAAGGAAGAACTGCACTAGACCTCTAGGGAATTGGCTCAGAAGATGGCACTCTCTCATGTTAATGTCGCTCATCATCCAGAATCATAGCTCATGGGTGCCACAAGCATTGACTGAGAGAAAAACTCCAATGCTCCTCCATTGCTGCCAGTTTACTTGCTCAAAATGTGAATACAAAGAAAGACCTTGGTTGGGAATTTCTACCACACTGACCATATTCTTTTGATTTAGCCCCTTCAGACAACCACCTGTTTCAGTCACTTTCTAACAATTTGACGGGTGTTTCACTCAATAATGAAGTGAAGCTTAAAATGTGGCTTGACGAATTTTTTGAGTCAAAACCTAGTGGTTTCTATTGTCAAGGTGTTGAACAGTGGATCATTGGCTGGAGGTCATAAACAATAAAGGATAATACATTATTAACTGATTCATCGGAACTATTAATAAATAAGTATTAAAATAAATTAAAAAATACAAATGAATTTATGCAACAACCTAATAATAAAAATGGTAAAAAATAAAAAAATTATTTAAAATGGTAAATAATAATTCATAATAGAATACAATATAGTGAAAAATTAATACTAAATAATAAATAAGTAAATAATAAATAAAAGAAAAATGTACTCACTTTGCCTACTTCACATGTGACTCCTTCACCATATCGAATATTTGAACATGCCATCTGAATAAAAAAATAATTCCAAAATGAAAAAAAAATATTCTTAGATAAAAAAAAAAAATCTTTATTTTTTTAAATATAAAACAATACTAACAATCTCTTTCATAATTTAATAAATTAAGATTATGACAATGTTCAAATAAGACTATCTTCTTTTATCCTTTTTAGGTTTTTTGTCCTGGAAATCCATAAAATTCAATTGCTATTAAATCCAAGGAAATTAATTTTTGTAATCTGAAACCTCAGAAGAGAAGGTGGGTCCAGAGTTGGCAATACTGTTTTTCAATTGATCATGTGGCAACCATTTTGAATTTTTAATGAATTGATTGGAAAGATGGCTGACATAGCAAGTAGCATAATGGTTATCAGTAAATAAAGTGGAATCATTGCATGCTGATGCCACTTTATTTGCTGACAGTCTGATTTGTTCACTTTGCACAAATGTGTTTGAAAAAGGCATGAATCTACCTTCCTTCAGCTATGGGTAAACCTTTTAGTGCCTATTGTTCAACTCAGTCAGACAAGTGCCATACATAATACATGCTTGGGTGATCATGTCTATTTCAATTCATAACTGACTAGGCAAGAGATTTTCTAGCAGTTGATTGCCATTTCTTTCTGCAGTAGACTGGCTGCAAACCAAGACTATTGGGCCCAGTCTGCTATTCAACCAAGGTGATACTTATACCAGGCAACCATGCAACTGGGGTTCACGACTAGGGGTAGACATGTGAAAACCTAAATTACTACTAAATAACAATTACTGAGAACATTTTTGGCAAAGAACTTGTTAGTAATGTCCAGTAATTAGTTAATTAGCAACTATGTATAATATTAGGAAGCAGTTGACAATTATTGACTTATTTCCATAATTCAAATATACAAAAATAAAAATACCATAAAATAACTAAATGCACAAAAATCATTTTAACTTTTTCAATGAAATTAACTGTTTCTGCAGTATCCTCCCCATTTAATAATTGGTATGTTTTAATGGCAGCTACAGTTTGAATACAAAAAGCTTTTAAATAATGGGAAACTTTTTGTCACACAACAGGTTTTAGGTAAACTGCTGCATCAGTTAGTTTCAACAGCTTAACAAATTGAGGTTTTTCATACTCAAAAAAACCTTTTACAATTTCCCATTTTGCTGTCATCATTTTAACTTCAGAATAAAACAGTAATTCAGATGTAGGTTCAGTAATCCAATTATTCTGAACATTTTTAAAAAGGTGGACATAATCTAAACGTACAAGCCATTTTTAGTTATCTAAGGTTTATTAAAAACAATGCAAAATTTTTGGAAAAAAGATGGATGGGTCCTGTTATGGTTACATACAATTGCAATTACTTGACTGTTTAATTGCATCAACAATATATGTTTTGCAATTTAAGTAAAATTTTTTGTCCATCTTTAAACATTTTACTATGATGTCCAATATTTTTTTTCCTAATCCTGCAAAATTTTCAACCAAACCAAATAAGTTTCTTCCATGATATTATAGAGCAGCCTTGGCATACACTTCATTAACTAAAAGAATACACATTTTGCTGATTTTCAGAGACTTCACTAAAATATCACCAAGAAAATTAAAATCATCTAATTTTGAAACTTCTGATGTCAAAGCTGGTAATATTGCCATCCTGGCTTGATCCAGGATCTCTCCCTCACTGATCAGTATTGGTGCCAGTCAACTGATGGTTAGCTGTTGACCGCTTCATTCTTCCATCTGATCTGTCCCACGTTGTGTTCTTTCATCACAGTGCAGTGAATATCGAATTTCTGTCTGCACATAAGCGCTAAATCAAGTTGGCAAAACTGTACTATGAAAAAGAACAAGAATGATTTTGCTAGTGAAGGCACAAAGGTCAGAACAAATGACAAATAAGGCTGCTGGGTTCATTTTCAATGGGTTTATATAATCGTTGCTACAACAAAATTAACCCTCACCATTCGACTCTCTATCATGACACTGTATCTCTTGCTTCTAAAACTTGGAACGGGTTCAGCATTCACATAAGATGTTTAGTAGTCAAACTTCCCATCAGCAATACTCTTGTCCAGCTCAATGTCCACAATTCTCTTCTCTGCAATTTTCTTCGGCAGCAATTTTCTTTGTCTGGCTCAACGTCAGCAATTCTCTTCTCTGCTTGACATCAGCAAATCTCTTCGCTGCTCAACAGCAGCAGGACACATGGCTTCTTTTGGTGTCTTCCAGACCATCACTGGGCTTAAACATCCTCTGCTGGTTTCTGGTGGTCTCTTGTCACTTCTCACTCAAACAGTGACTGCTCAAACTTCAACCAAGTGTTTGGTTTATATGCATCTTGCATAACTCTCATTACCCCTCAAAGCTCAGTACATATTCAATTAATAATTCTCCCCAACTCTGAAATCATGAGATCTATCCTAAAACAAAGTTTTCTGATATTTCAAAACAATAAACTTTGTTTTTACAGTCCTCTTACCCAACAACTATTGTTTATATTAATAAATTTTTGTGTTTAAAAATTTATTTCACATTGCTAAAGAATTCTCTCTGTTTTTAGAAATCCCTTTCTTTTCCCAGACAATTTTCTCATCAATAAATTTTATTTCAAATCAGCAATTTCTTCTGGCTGTCATGTTACATTTTCAATATGTCCTAAATATTTCCACTTTTATCAAAACAAAATTATTTCATGACATAACTGATTTTCCCATCAGTTTATCAGGAAAAAAACATCTTTTTTTTTTTCTCTTGCTTCATATTCCAATGTCTGCTTCTTCACTCCAACATTTTCTTGCTTAACAGTTTTCAACCCTGCAAAGAATTTCAGAATCATGTTTTGTGCCAATCCTTTGTGGTGACATGTGCTCTTTTAAAAATAATTTTCTTATCAATTTTTAAGTTACTAAGTTAACAAATTACTTTATTGATTTGTGACCAGTGCTGAAACATTGATATTTAGCTTTTTGAAAGAGAAAAAAATTGTTGCATATATACCAACATGGTAACATTCAAATCTCAAGTTTTCAAAAATTTTAATTAAAAACATTAGAATATTTCCAGTGAAAAAAAAAATCAACAGATTGGATGAACAGCTGATTGATTGATAGCAACTGCTGACACAAAATCCTGTTGATCAATATTCTGCTACAAATTTTCAAGTGAGGATTTTGTCTTTTTTCTAGAAACAATGCCAACTCATCATAACACACATTTCACACAGAAGCAGAAATTTTATTTGTTGGTTTTAGTTAGGGAGTAGGTAATACACTTATGGCAAATGATTAAATATTGATAAATTTTTGGGTCACACTTTTCTCGTAATAACCACAGTGCCATAATCAGATGGCAAATGCCTTTTACAAACAACAGTGGTGTTATCTCAAGGTATTGCCTTTAACCATCTTTCTCGCTCATTCTAATCTTGAAGACAAAATACACAAACCTTATTTTGTTAATGATAGTTACCATGACGACCTGTTAAACAACACTTTCTGACCCTCTTTTGAGAAAGATTTTGGGGTACTGAAATTAAAAAATATTAACTATTATTTTGTAAAAATTACATGGTGCTTCTAAAAAGTGTATGAAGCTTATATTCTAAGGTCTGGAGGGTTTTGGATTCTGAATTAAGAATTTAAAGTTTGTATGACTGTGGTAATTTGTCATATGCTACTTTCTGTTTTCTTTAAGGAGTTATGTAGTTACAAAGGATTTCCTAATTATTTCACTGGTCAGGGTCTGTTTTTATGTTGAAGTTGCATGCTGAATTGAACCTCACATTAAAATTTTTGGATAATCTTATTTTGTGGGAGTGTGGATCAATCATTTCATCCCCTATAAAATATGATAATCTAAACAAAATTAACTAGTTTAATATTTCTACAGTATATTTTTTAAAAGTATTAAACTAGTTAATTTTGTTTTACATTTTTAACAACAACAATGCTAGTAAAATTCAACATAGATTTTTTTTTAAAATATCTATAATTATTTTTTTAAATCAATAATTTTCTTATGAAGAATAATATCATAAAAAATATTAAATTAAATTATTATTCAAATTTTTTCAAATGTGTTTTCACATCTGTACAAGTGCAATCTAGGCAAGAGTTTATGACCTCTTTTAGTATCACCTATTGAAAGCGACAATGACTTATTGTTTTAACCTAGGTGTGGTTTGGGGAGGGAGTTTAGCAAAGCAGTCAACAGAAAATGAAACTAGCGAGGTGAGTTCAAATTTTACATTCAATTTGCATTAATATCCTTGGGAAAAGCATGAATCAATCTCAAGAGGTCAGGTTGAGTTAGGTCTGAGATTACTCCCATCTTTTGGTACCATGTAATCCAGTACAATCTTTCACTTGAAGATTGCCAAATAACCCCATTACTTCAAAAAGGACTATGTATGAAACTTTAATGATCTACAAGATCATGGGATAATTCATTTTTTTATTTTTTTAACATTATTCAATCTCAGACAATACAGAATAATTTTAGTAGTATGCATAACAATGTATAAAATTACCTCAAATGCATATTCTTTTTCCAATAAAAGTGCTGATGTTTCATGATGATGGCCTATATTTGAAAAATAAATGAAAAAGAATTAAAACATTAAAATATTTTTTAGCTCTCCTGCACTTAGGATTAAAAAAGAAAATATAAAATGCTGCTGTATTTTTAAAAAAAATGTCATGAACATTTTAATTGAAGTCATTTATAGAAGTCACAAATGACAACAAGCAAAAATTTGTGGAAAGGAAAAGAAAACAAATTAGTTTCACTAATGAATGACTTTGTGGTAAAAAATAAAAATAAAAAAAAGGAAAAGAAAAAAAGAATTTTTCTGTATCATGCATATTTGCTTTTATGAAATCCTTCCAAAATAATTTATTCAGAAGAAAAGAACAGTGCAACACAGAAAAAAATGCTAACACAGTCATAAACATTCACATTATCATATTTTCAATACAATATGAGAACCTTACAAAAACATTAATCTGAAAACAGGAGTCATGTTCCTAAATAGTTTCGTCAGATCATGACTTACATATGGATGTCATGCATGGTGCCAAATCCATTCAGAAATATCTTAAATGTCTGCTGTATACAACCACTTTCTATGACCAATAGTTAAAAATGGTTTTCGGTGAATGAAGCTTCTGAGAGTAGAATAACCAATATTTTCCTTTTGTTTTTATTCAAATTGTTCTTTTACAGATATATTTTTTAGTTATCTCTGAAATTTTTTTATATATATATATATATATATATATATATATATATATATATATATATATATATATATAAGGCAAATGTAAGGATTTTATTTTGCAACACATATTATCACAGATGAAGAATAGACTTGAAGCAACAGAAATGTGGCTCTACAGAAGGATGCTGAGAATACAATGGACTATGTGATAAATGACAAGATTTTAGAGAAAAATGAAAACACTTATACTTAAGACAGTTAACATTTCTAGGGCACATAATGAGGAAAGAGGGCTTAGAAAATTTGATACTCACAGGACACATTGAAGGCAAGAAAACAACGCATAATCTACCTAGTGAACTTGAGTAAATGTAAGGCAGAACAGGGTTTAGGCGAGATAACAAAAAACAAAATTTATTAAGAGCTACAAAGGAAACAAAATTGTGGAGAGCCATGATTGCAAACATCCTGAAGGAACATGGCACATAGAAGATAAAAAAAAATTAACTGTGGCTTGAAAACAAATAGAAAAAAAACAAGCTGTAAATTTGACATTTAATTTAACGTCAAATTAAATGTATTAATTTTTTTTCTGAATCTTATAAATTATTTTTGATGCAATTAATTATAATAAAAAGCATAAACAAACATAAATAATTTTCATTTATTATAATTTACATGGGGTGTTCTCTCAGGAGTTTGTTTTCTATTTTCTTGGTGGTCTCTCTATAGCCAGACTCAAGTTTACCCAATAAAGAAAATACAAAATGTACAGATTACATGGCATGTACTACAAATTACTAACATTTAAAGCATGTTGTTTTTGGTTGATGCATGTGTCAGATTGCCATTCCATTTTTTCTGTTTAATTTTTTTGTTTGTTTTTTTGAGATGAGGAATTATTAAATGCTTTGCTATTTTCGACTATCATGGTCACCTTTGTTATTAAGAGCTGAATACCCATCTTACAAAAAGAGAAAATAGAATTTTTGTATAAACAACATTTTCAGCAAGACACCTATTTCCTTTTGCCATTATCCCAAGTCCACTTGAATTTCCTACTCTGGACATAGCTAGACAAGATTAAATATGAAATGTTTATATTACAGGTTGGGTATTCTTCATCTGAAAACCTCTAAAATCCAAAAGTTTTTCAGGTGCTGACATGACATGCCACAAATAGAAAATTTCAGAAAGCACTGGGACAGTTCCTAGGTGATGTGCAGCTTGACCTAACTTCCTGGCCTAAGTTGGTGCCAGTTTTTTTTATCAGCGATCACCATAACAACACCTTTGTTTGTGGATTACTTACAAGGTGTGTTGTGCTCAGTAAAGGTGTTATTCAAAATGTCAAAAAGTCCTGCATTTATATATTTTTTGTAAGTAGTAACTATGTTTTTTTGTACATGTACAGAAAATACAAAACATTATTTTATGTGAAATCTTAATTTCACCACTTGACAATCCATGCGAGCTTTACATGAATAGCATCATTACCTGTATCTGTATGTACACAAAATATTTAATAAATTTTATATAAAAATACTTTCAGAGTATATGTTATTTATGTAAAATACCTTCAAGGGTGTACCAATAACTTGAACTGATTTTAAATGCGAATTAAGTTTAAGCGTCTAACGATTTTTTCTTTTTCTTTCAGATTTGGTGGACATTTGGGCGATATTATTTTCACACATAATTGCCATGACTTAAATAACATAATCCGATAGAGAAATAAATAAATTTTCACCAATAACAATTACTGCTGACTTTGATCCATCTTAATGAAACACCCTTATATAAAATCCATCTTAATGAAACACCCTATATAAGCTGTGTTGTGAAATGTAAAGGGATATCATGTTTATGCTTGGGTTCCATTCTCAAGCTGCCCCATTTTATAGATGCAAATTAAATAGTCTGTATTTGAAAATCTGAAAATCAAAAACACTTCTGCTTCCAAGATTTTTGAATAAAGGATTCTCAACGTGCATTATAAATTACCAATACTTAATGTGTTTTGTTTTTAGCTGAAACATAAAACATTAAAAAGGTAGAATAAATGTGTTACTTGCATTAATCACACAAAAAACTGGCATAAATGACAAGTTTATTAACAGACAAAAAAATGTAAAAGGAAAACATCCACAAAACAATATAATAAATGTATACAATAGACATGCACTTCTTAAACTTTTTTTTTATTCATGATCCTATTTTTCATCTCAAGATTTTTCACAACCCTAGGCATTAACTACACTGAAAATACATATGTTGTCACTGCACTAGTCAGAATGACACCATATGTGTGTTTTATTACCGCAGTGCTTTCGTAGCACATCACATTACATATTGTATGTTTGTGAAATAACATAAACTGAAATTCAAGAGTTTCAATTCAATTTTCGCAACCCCAGCATTTTGCTTCGTAACCCCAAATAGGATCACAATCCATAGTTTAAAAAGCGCTGCAATAGATAATATAAATTATCCATGCACAAGACAATATTATTAATATGGAAAACAATAAGATCACATAATAAAATGGATACATGCATAGGGTAGCAATTATTAACATCTAAAACACAATTGGCATGTCAAGTTCAAATTCCTCCTAAGGACATTGCATCCACTTTTGCACAAATACTCTTGAAAAGGTATGAATCCACCTCTTCTTTCCCCACCAGCTAGGGGCTAATAGCAAAGTAGACTGAGATTTCTAGCTTTGGTTGGTAAACAGTCTAGTAAAAGTAAAAGTTGAGTGCGAGGTTAGAAATTTCCCACTGTAAAAAACAATGAAAAAAACTTACTTGCTACAGAAATCACAATGGCAATACTAGTGTATTGAGGCTGTGGCCCTATATTGCAGTGGAAGTCTACAGAATTAACATATATGCATAACATGTAATAAAAGCATAAACAAGACACAATAGGCATTACTTTAGGAGAGGTTATAGGCTTAAAAGTTAGTGCAGTGAAATTATATGCCATGTTAGAAAACTATCTGTTGCCAACTTTAAGGTATCCACAATGCCATGAAGATTATTTGATATAATCTAAGTTTGACTTAATTTTAAGAAAGAACTCTTTGAATTCAATTTAAAAAAATGACTTACCAGCTCTGGGTGAATGGGGACAATAATCTGGCGAGAAGGTATTCCTGAATAAAAGCAATACAATCCTTAATGTAAAAAACTGTTAATAAATAATATGTAAAAACAAATATTCATTTAATAATTTACATTTAGGTAGATGAAAATAAATAAATATACTGAATAAACAGTGCATCTACTCAAATATGGATATAATACACAAACATTTATTTTTAAATGGATGTTTTTAATCCAATATTATTTCTTATTACTATAAATTTTATTTTTATCAGGTATACGTGTTTGAGTGCTACCCATGTTTTTATTTTCTTACAAAGTGAAATCAATATCAACCGGCCTAAATCAAGAAGTCCTACTAAAGAAAAATTGTACCTCCCAACATATATCCCATTTTCAATCAGAGAAACCATTCTTATAGCTGAAATTGGTAATGGCACAGTCATTGGTGGCAGATGGGCAGGTGTGAATATTTAAAAAACTGGTGATCTACATGAGAAATCATCGCTAGGGTTTACAGAGAATGGTGAAAAAAAGAAAAAAAAAACAACTGAGCAGCATTTCTATGGGTAGAAATCCCTTGTTGATATAAGAGGTTGGAAGAGAATGGTTAAACTGGTTCAGACTGATGGAAAAGTAAGAGTAGCTCAAATAAACACTCTATACAATAGAAGGTATATAGAAAAGCATCTTCAAATGCACAACATGAAGCAAAAGAGTTCCAGCATCAGAAGATTATACAGAGTGGCACTCCAATCACATAAAAACAAGAAACTAAGGCTTCAATTTACTACAGATTGCAAAAATTGAACAATAGAAGATTGAAAAAATGTTGACCTGATGAGTATATCTCACTGGATGAATATCGATTTCTGTTGTGACATTTGAATGGTAGGATTTGAATTTGGCGTAAACAACATAAAAAAAAGGATCCATTCATTGTATGAATAGTTCAGGCTGGTGGTGGCAGTGTAATGGTGTAGGGAATATATTCTTGGTATACACTGAGATTCTTGGTACCAGTAAAATATATTTTAAATGCTGCAGCCTATTGTGGTTGATTATGTCCATCAATTTATGATCACATCTAGGGGCTAATTCCAGAAGGACAATAAATCAAAAATAGTTGCAGATGTTCACCTAATTTAATGCCCAAGACCCACTCAAGGGGGTTACTACATCAATAAGTTTTCTGTGTTAAAGTGGCCTCCACAATACCTGGTTATCAATCCAATAGAGTACCTTTTGGATGTGGTAGAAAGGGAAATTCAAATCCTGGATGTGCAGCCAACCATCCTAGAAGAATTGTGAGATGCCATAATAATAACATGAACCAAAATTAAAAAAGTGCTTCCAGAATATAATTGAATCCCTGTCAAGAAGAATTCAGGTGGTCCTAAAGGCAAAAGGGGGTCCAACTCAGTACTACAAGAATATACCTAATAAAGAAACTGGTAAGTATACATGTGCGTTTTTGTGTGTGTATATATATATATATATATATATATATATATATATATATATATATATATATATATATCTCCTTTCCCAAGGGTATTAGCACATAAGTGAATGTAATGGATTCAACTGGAATTTGAACTTGGCTTTCCAATTCCTCGATCCGAGCCACTATCCACTACTCCACCGTGCCTTCAGCTATGGGTAAATAGCAGGAAAGACTGGGTTCTATAGCCTTGGATGGCAACTAGTCTAGGAGACAACTCTGAATTCAAAACCTGTGGAGGGTTGTTTGGGGACCTTGTGGCACGTAGTGCACCAGGTCTCTGTATTCGAAAAGTGTGGTTGGTTCTGCACAAAGCCTTCACCACTATAATCAAATCATATGTGCTGGTGTCTAGGCCGTCAGTTCCTAGAAACTGAGTTGCTTGACCCTCATACATCTAATATGATGGGAGAATCCACCATATATATAAAAACTTATTCAAACAGACCTCTTGAGGAATGGATAATTCCAAGAAACTTCAGTCAGGGGAATATCAAAAATTTATATTTACAGTTATATTATTAATATATATATATATATATATATATATATATATATATATATATATATAAATGTTATAATAAATGCGAATGACAGTGTGTCATACTTTTTTCAACTTTACTCCTAGATGATGTAGCTAAACATATCATACCATTTTGGAACCAGGCCAATTCCATGAGGAAATTAAAAAATTCTGGATCGGATCTGGACCCACAATCCTGAAATTTTGGATTCCCAAGTTTTCATTACAGCAATTGTTTTCAGATTCCACCATCTTGGCTTCTACTGATAAAAACAATTAAAAGAACAAAACTCCCTAACTTTCAATAGCTTGTGTTTAAATGAAAAAATTAATGTTCTCAAATTACAGTGTTTCTAAATAAAATTGTCTATGTTTTCAACTTTACTTGAGCCCAACACATTTTGAAATCAGGCCAACTCCATGAGCAAATTAAATTCCAGGCTGGATCTGGACTTGAAATCCTAAAATTCTGGTTTCCCAAATTTTCATTACTGTAATTATTTTCAGCGAATTTTTTTCCACAATTTTTTGCAACAAATTTTTTTGTCCAATCAATTTTGAGTTCTCCTGTAATTTATTGTTGCTTATCGCATCTACTCCTCCCTAACTATTGCGATGAAGGCCTAATCAAGAGTCCTCTGCAGTTTAAATACCACCCATTAAGGTAGCTTTTTGTTAGTATATATATATATATATATATATATATATATATATATATATATATATATATATATATAATATATTTTTATATATATATGTATACATACACATCTGTTTCAAAGAAAATGGAAGTTGGAACATGCCCAGATATGCACTGGGGCAGAAATATTTACCTGACTCATTACCCAAGCAACATGTTACAGTCATTTTCGGAATTAAATTCTTACACCACATATCTAATCACACATACAGACACACAAATATATATATTCAGCATTGCAATATTTACAGGTAAAACTGTAAAAGACTTACATTTTAAAATATTTTCAATCATACATTGTGGTGTGCATTAATCAGAACAGTTTCACTATGCTAAAGAATGCATTAACTATTTTATTGAAACAAAATAAATCTGCTTATGAATCACCTTTTAAATAAGGAAAACTTTTGGTCAAAATTAATTTAAACAAAGTGATTATGTTTTAGACAAAAAATATCTATTATAATGATGTGATTTCTATATGTTTGTGTGTTTTCATATGTTAACATAATATAGCAAAATGGGCATATCATAGCACAATTGTTGTTTGTGCAATATAATTTAAAAGCTTTAACTTCATGAATGAATCAGTTTCTCATCTCGCTGAGTTAACCAGTTCAATGTAATCTTCAATTAAAAAAAAAAAAAAAAAAAGAAAACCATGCATGGGAAATAATTCCAGTTCAATTTACTGCTAATTACAGACACATTTCTCTTGACTTGTCTGTACTCTACTTCACCAGACATGGTGGCATACCAGTAACGGTACTTTAATAATATTTATACTAATAAATAAGTCTAGTGATAATTAGCATTTACAAATAATTTTAATTTCTATGAACAGGAACTAATTTAACTTTAAGGCAGCATTTAAATTAATTTTAATTAAATTTCTTTGATTCTAAAGAGCTGTTATTAATATATGTCAAAATGATACATTTGACAATGAACTGTCTAAAATATATATGGTTGTTCCTTGTCATGGTAGAGGGCTGTCATATCCCAGTGATCTGAAGAGTGAAGCCATCTGGAGTTTCAACTTCTGCCGGGCTACCCAGACTGAATGTGACCAACCATGAAAACTTTAATGGCAAAATAGGTAAAAATCTACATGATCTCAATAACCAAACAAGCGGAAGAGGGCAGCGTCAGTTGGGCTGGCATAACCAATAGACCATGACAGAACAAGCAGCCAACAGCCTGATGCAAACAGGTTTGCCAGATATTATCTGTTTCAATCCCCTTTGAGCTGCACTTGTTTTCGGTAGTGTAGAACATCAATGTCCTTTGAGTCTGTCATTATTTTCTCTTAATATTAATTTTCTCAATTACATGTGATATTCATTTTTACCATTGTTGATAGACCTCAAGTGATGTGATTTCTGTTCTTTGGTATAGTTCTTTTGTTTTTGATTCTGTATCGCTAGTCCACAAAGTTCAAAGAAGTATGGTTCTTGCTAAGAATTGTTTTGATGAAAACAACAAGTAGAAGATATTAGTTTCCAAAATAATGTCTGTGAGATAGGACACACCTACAAGAAATCTTAAATGAAACTTTTATGATCTACAGATGTCTGGATTGTTTTTAATTTTATTATATAATTTTGTTTATAATCACTATATTATGATTGTATGTACATTGGTGTTTGAGTTGGAAAACACATGTCTCCTGTAATATTTATTCTACAACAAAAATGGCAGACTTGTATGTGTGTCTGGGTAATAAAATACAAAGAAACAACTAAAACCTATATATATATATATATATATACAAACAAATGATAATATATTATTAAAAAGACAAAAAGTTACATTGTTGTGAGCAACAAAAACAGTGATATTGTATGTATGTGACAAAACAATTAATATACACAAAAACATTTAAAGACTAGTGAATTGTTTGTGTATGTAATATACATATAGAAGTTGCATACATGCATTTCCCAATGGGAAATGTGTTTTAACAATAGACCTACATCCTAGCATGTCTAAGGAAAATAGGAAAAAGAGAATGATAGAAAATATTACAGCTTTTATAGGTTCAGAGAGCGTCCCCTAGTGTCGTTTTTTTTTTGTTAGGAAAGTAAGTGGGGTAACTCCACAACTTATATGAGAACTCAGCACTCAAGTATTACAATCAATATGAAAATAATGACTTCTGTAAGAATAAGATGCAACTAACTGTAATTAAAAATATTTCCCATCAAGACATTTCAAACTTTAAGGTTGTTTTTTTATTATTTGAAATCTACCCAGGTATACGCATTTTTTGCACTAAAGAACTGTCGTGGCTTTTTTGGATGCTCCCTAAACAGGAATGAATAGGACACTTCAACCTTGACCTTTTTGATTGTGTTCCCTACATGCTGTGTAATTTAGCCTCCTTTTGTTTTAGAATTGAGCTAATTACTTTTTAGTTCCTTTTGTGTTACGAACCTAGTCATAGCACACCTCTTAAGCATTTTAGACCGTTTTTTCATAGCAAATCTCAACTTATTTTTTAGTGAGATTTCTAGTATTTTGTGAGACCTGTGGTTGTTGTTGGTTCCCCTTAATATAATACAGTGACTTCTCAATAAATTCAGGGGTCGCGACATGTCGGACGATGAGTTTAGCCTCACTGGTCTTTGGGTGCTAGCGGCGGATTACCTCAGTAACCCCGAGTTTTCACTTACCTGGCGACTGGCTCGAATCAGCTGCCTCTCAATGACAGGGCCTTTCATATGGGGCTTGGCGGATTTGCCAGACTGCGATCGGTGTGGCCTTGGTCTAGAAGGAAACGCCAAGACACCTTCTTCCATTGCCCCGGTCCGCCCCTTATGGGACCATGTCGGCAAGCTGACGGTGTCTGCGTCTCCCGAAAAAAGCTTTGTGCCCATGGATCACGATACGCTGGCGTGTGACAATGTGTTGCCCCCATATTCAGGGGTGAAACAGATGGTGTTTCTCATGCTGCTAGCCACGGCACGAATGGTGATATGGACGACGCGACAGGAGGAAGTCTTATGGGTAACCGTCTTTCTCATCAGGATCTGATTCAATTCTTTGAGCATCAGCTCAAGGCGAAGATTAGAACTGATAGAAAACGCTTGCATATCGACAGTCTTCAGCGAAAAGGTGGGTGACTGAGACGAGCTTGGTTTTGTGTGAAGGGCTATCCTTGATTTTCTCTTTTAGGTCAAGCCTACATTGCATCGGGGTGGCTTCCTGTGGTGCCCTCCCCTTGGTTAGGTTAGACAAGCTTTGGTGTACCTAGTTAATCTTTGAGAGTAAGTGTTGTTTCCCGGCCTGCCCCCCCCGGCCACATCTTTAGTTATGATCCAGCCTGAGATTCCCAACCTCCCCAGTTTGTTTTTTGGCCCCCCACTTTCCATCTCGACTGGGTCAGCTTTATACTTCCCCATGCCCGTATGATTTTTTTATCCCTTAGCGAGAGAGCTGCTTGATTTTGTTCCAATGGGCAGAATACAGTGGTCTCTTTGCCTTTTGAGGGTTGGACGGGCCCTACTAACATCAGTTAACGTTTAATTTCATTTATGTTAAATATTTCAGTTCGTTATCGGGTTCATCTCCCCACCCTCTCATTTTTTTTTTTTTTTTTTCATTTTAGAATTTTGTACATATGTGTTAGGATCATTAAAATTACCATGACACAAGGCGCGTTTTGTAGGTCTCCCTAGAGTGGATGTGGTATTATGGTGCATGGAGGATTGATTGGCGACAGACGAGTTCTTATGGTGAATGAGTAAATTGTAATGTCTGAATGGGTTGTGAATCAAATTAGCTAGGTATAAGATAGTTAGTGAAGACCAGTCTTTTACCCCCTCCCCCTTTTCGGCCTTGTGCCACAATTTTGTATTTTACAAAATAAATCCCGGTCGTTATGCAGGCTCCTGGCCTTTGTGACCAGGACGCCTACCCGGGCTGCGTATTAAGTTACATTTCCATTTTTTTTTTTGTATGCTAACTGGATGTAAGTTGGTTTTTCTTTCCCTTTCTACTTCTACCTTTATTCTAGTTTCCTCTCAGCATCCTGCCCCTACTTGCTGCCTGCACGTCGTCCGTAACCTTTTCCATACAATACTAATTACTACGTGGTTTTGATATCAGATTTGACCAGCATATTATGTAACGCCAGCACCGGATATTCAATATGCCCAACAACATCGCAAAGCCCGCTTCCCAGTACTGAGCAGATACTGTTGCCGATAACGTTCCTGCCTAACACGTCTAGTCTGAAGCCCAACTAGCCAACCAGCAGCAATCGCCTGCAATGACCAGCATTTATCACCTGTGGTGACCAACAATCATCTGTAATGACCAGCAGCGACCATCTGCAATGACCAGCAGCGATCAACTTTAATAACTTAAACTTGAATAACCTTTCTTGTATACTATTGGTTATAATAACTACAGGAGGTTTCAACCTCGACCAGCATGTACGCAATGCCTGCACATCAACTTCCAACTGTCGACACGACTGGAATGACCACATCCCAACTTTCCAACCGTCGACACGACCGCATCTCAACTTCCAACCGTCGACGCAACTGGAGCGACCACCATTACCACAATTACTAGAGACCATCTAACCCACGGCCTCTGCTTTGTAAAAAAACTTAGCATTAATCGTACATATCCTCGTACTGTTGTCCATTTTGTTTCAACATGTCAGATTTCACGTCTTTAATTCCAAAATGTTAGCAGGTTTCTTGTGACCTCATACCGAATTCGGGGCGCTCGGGCCGTTTTTCATATCGCGCCCCACTTCAGGGGCTCCGCTACAGAACAAAATAAAATTTATAAACAAATTCCAAAAAATTAAAACTTTAAAATTTTTGGAAACAAAACTTCTTAACAATGTGTTCTACTTCCAGGGTGAGTAACATCAGTGTCAGTCTACTGAATCGGAACAGAAAAAACAAAAACCAACAAAATTTAAAAACATTAATTTACCAATAGGATATGAACAAAAAACAAAAAGAAAAGGAAACTTAGACTTTGGTCGGATGAAAAACTCTACTTGCTTTAACTAAAAAGTTTTAAACTTTAAAGGAAATGGAACAAGTGGATGTCCAGTTACTAAATCGATATGTCTATATCAATGATTGACAAACAGACGATAAGTAAAAAAAGAAAATTTGAATAAAAAAAGCAACACCGAGCTATTGAACTTGACAGAAATAAACAAACGAATTCGGTAAAATTGCAGATTAGAACACAGTAGTAACCAATTTTAAAAAGCATCATCATTTCTAGTGTAAAAAAGCCTGAATATTCCAAAAACAGCATTAAAAATTTGCGGAAACCTAACGTTTAGGAGAAAGTCAAAAAAATGTTTGTTTAAGAAAATGTCAGCCGGACTGTAGCCGAGACACAAACAAAAGTAGACCCAACGAAGATTTTCGATATTTACTTAACAAACACTTGGTAAAACAAAATTTAAAAATGCTGTTTTTGGAATATTCAGGCTTTTTTTTTTTTTTTTTTTTACACCAGAAATGATGCTTTATTTTTTTTTTTTTAAATTGGTTATTGGGTCCTATATTGCAAAAAATAGAGTTTTTTTTTGTTTAAAATGAAACCGCTCTACTTTTTTTTTTTTTTTGCTAATTATTAATTATATCGTCATATGAGACTGAGACACAAAAAACAAGTAAAGAAGTAAAAGTTTTAGGTGATTCAATAAAGGATTTTGAAATATTTTTATTTATGTCATGACGGGTGGGAAGACGAGCTCTTTGATTACTACTATTTTTTGTTTTTGTTTTTACTACAAAAAAAAGTAAATAAAACTATGAGAAAAGTTTTTGAATTTCTTTTTGTTACAATTGTTGTTATGTAGAACAAATTATTAAAATTGATTAAAAAAAAAAAACATTACTGGCTTCACATTAAAAATAAGATAAAAAGAGGTGATCTCTCCCTGCGTGATTGACAATGTCCCAATTCTTTTTTATGCACGAGGAAGACTTGTGTCAATGTCGAGATTTTTTTTTTTTGTTGGAAGATTAAAAAAAAAAAGAATCTTATATTCACGTGGTGTCATAATTGCTAAAAATTAATTAATTCTCTTTCTGTTCAAAACAATAACTTTAATAATTAATTCGTCGTGTTTTTCTTATTTAAGCACATCTGTCTTTAAAAAATAAATAAAATTAAAATTATCAGTTTTTCGTTAAAAAACAAATTGGATTTTTTAAAAAGACATTATTATTTACATTTTTTTTAACAGAACACAGACTTACTTACCATTTGGATGATAATGTGCGCATCAAACGAACAATTTTGTCGCTTCTTAAAACGTTACACATATTTATTTTTTAAATGCACTTATAATATTGTTGGTATTTTTATTGTAACTATGAAATGCGCAACAATAAATTTTTAGAGTACAAGTGCACACGTGTTACCGGGTGTTTACGATCGAGAAAATTCCTAACCTTACTTTGAAGGACATTGTTTCGTAAAAAAACGGTAAAAAATGTTTACAGTAAAAGCGTAACCGTAAAACGGATAAAAATGAATAAACTTAATTAGCCGTGGTCAAAACCACGAAGCTGAAGTGCTATTTTTAAGGCATATTCCTTTCTTAGTTACAAATGCTAAATGCAAGATCAAGATGTCACTTACATTCGATAGCCATTCTGAAAAAAAAATACTAAGATAAGAAAAGATAAAGTTTCTGAATTATATAACTGAAACTGAACTGATAACATTTTTTTAACATGTTAAATTTCCCGAAATACAAGGTCGAAAAAAAATACTCGAACAAAAACATTATAAACTGGAAAAATGTTATTAAAAACTGAATATAAACATACCTTGTCGGTCGAAAACGTTTTTTTTATTATTATTATTTAATTTAACTAATTTATGTTCATCCTGTACAAAGCCCGGGAACCACTCGAGGTAGAGGCATACAGAGTAAGAGTTTATGCGGATATGTGGGGAAGATAACGGTCACCGTTAACTGTAACACCCTAAACTTGAACAGGTTACGATTGTAGCGATCGGGGAAGCATCCAATTGGGGGTCGGTTCCACAAAGTAGCGGTTCGTGGGAAGAAACTGCACGAGTGGAACTTACGTCTCACCAATGGAATTGGAGGGAAATGAGGCTGAATCGCTATGTACACAGTATGGTGGGTTTTAGCCGTTCTAAACATCGAGTAAATAATTATACCCTTGAAATGATCATCATCATCATCACACACATACATACATACCTACACAAATTCAAATTTCAATAACAATCATTCATTGGATAGAAATCAACGCTGCTATCTTATGCGACAATTTTGAAATCGCTATCTTTTCGCATAGTAGATTTTTTGCACTTTTGGGAGAATCGGCTCCCAGAAGTCTTCCCAAAACTCATGCACTATCGACCAATCAGACTCTCTGAATGTGGAGAATGATTCTTCCCGAGCAGCACTCCTGATCCAATGATCACCTATAAATAACAAACAAGAGTTTGTTTCTTCCTCTTTTTCCCTTCAGGTGAATGCCCGAGCCTGAGGTCCGAGTCTCGAAGGGCGAGGCTCTATCGTGACCTTCAGCGTGATGTATGTTGTGTGCAAGAGACCCGTTTTTCTTCTCGCGATCATGACGCTCGTGGGGTGTCTCTTGGCTGGTGAGCAAGTCCTTGAAGGCTGCGTGTTCTCTTGTCTTCGCAGATCCGGCGTGCAGACTTTGCGTGCTGGATGTTACCATAAAGGATAAGGTTTTTCGTCTCATTGGGGTTTATGCATCCAATACCCATTTTGAGCGGCCTGCTTTGTTTCGGCAGAGAACCGTTCTTGACGTCATCTCGTCGGGTAGTTTTAGCGGGGGATTGGAATGCCGTCCTTGACCCCGATATAGATCGTATATGGTCAAAATTGGGTACTAACAACCCGGATGTGAAACCATTTCGGGACTTTATCGACAGGTTTGATCTTGTCGATATGTACCGAAATGAACACCCCGGGAGGTAGCATGGATTTGGATTAATAGTGGCAGCTCGGCTACTCAGGTGCTTTCTAGTTACCTCGGACCGAGTCTTAGGAGGAGAGTCGATGTAGGGCTCTTAGGGTGTTCAAGTTTCCATTATATAGTTTATACGGATCATAGGCTTGTCCGGGTCCGGATAAACTTAGATAAACCTAAGGTTAAGGTTGGCTGGTTACTGGAAATTGAACTGTTCATTATTTGGTGAGCAAAATTTCCGGGACCAGCTGTTACTAATGATACAAAGGGAATTGACGGGGGTGGTGGTGGGAAATGCCTGGTGGGATAAATTTAAAATCAAAAATTAGAACGTTTGCTGCTGATTATAGTCGTCGGCTCAATCTAGTTTCTGAATTATATAACTGAACTGATAACATTTTTTTAACATGTTGAGCAAAAAGTTGATCGGGCGATTAAATCCCGTGATAGTGAGGACGTAGCCTTAGCTAAGGCAGAGTTGGCCTCCTTGCTTATCAAGAAGGATCAAGCTCTGGTAGTTAGGGCTAGGTTAAAAAAGAATGTCTTCTGAGGCAACGAATATGGCCGCTGAATTGCGTGCAGAGGAGGTTCGAAATGCATCTCGGCGACATATCGCATGCGTCACATTGCCGGATAAGCGGACCGTGACTACAAACGATGGCATATGTGAGGCTTTTTTCAAGACTATTTTCAGGAACTTTTCACCAGGGAGCCCGGTTTGATCCTGCTCAGTTCGACGCCTATTTAGCTGATTTTCCCTGCCTTGAGGCAGCTGAAGCGGCTAGGTGCGAGGGTCCCATAACAGAGTCGGAAATTTGGGATGCGCTGAAACAGGTTGGCCTGGACAAATCTCCGGGATTAGATGGTCTTCCGTACGAAGTGTACTTGAGGCAGTCGCCCGTTTTTGTTCCTTTGCTGGCACTGATTTTCGGCAACTGGATGAAGCAGGGGTCTATACCTCAACGTTTCACCAGGGGTGTAATCAAGTTGCTACGCAAGGACAAAAACGGTGGGGATGGGTTAGGTAACTTTCGCCCTTTTAACGATGTTAAACACAGAGTTAAAGATTTTGGCGAAGATCTTAGCCAACCGTTTGCAGGCTGTCCTATCTAGTCTGATTGGCCCTGAACAGACTTGTGCTGTGAAGGGCAGGACTATTCAGGACAACCTTCATATGGTACGCTTGATCATCGAGCAAGTCGACAGTGAAGCCGCGCTGATCAATTTAGATCAGTCCAAGGCCTTCGATAGGGTTGACCATCGATTTCTGGAGGCTGTTCTTTCGGCGGCCGGTTTCGGGCCAGACTTTCGCACCTGGATCCGACTTTGTATGCGACCCCGGTGCGCTGGTGGAAGTGAATGGGGTACGATCGGAACCTTTCGTATTGTCTCGTTCCATTCGTCAAGGTTGTCCGCTTTCGCCTTTGCTTTACGTTCTTGCGTTGGAACCTTTCCTTCGCAAGTTAAAGACGAATCCGGTCCTACGCTGGCTACCTGGTGCTACCACCTCGGCCAGGTATTCTGCCTATGCTGATGACGTTTCGGTTCTTGTGTCGAGCAGAGCCGAGATTGACGAAGTCAGCAAAGAAATCAGTGGGTTATGAGATGGTGACAGGGGCCAAGATCAACCGCGATAAGTCTGTTGGCTTGCGGTTGGGTGCGTGGAAGGAGTTTTCTTCCCGGACCTTTCCTCTGGACGGATGGGCCGGTCAAGATACTCGGCGTCTGGTTCGGTCCTGATTTCCAGTTGGAAATGAATTGGTCGGAGGTACAAGGGAAGGCCGAGATCGCAGTTCGTCTGTGGTCTCGGAGGAATTTTTCCTTAACGGGGAGGGCGGAAGTATGTGCCTCGCACATCTACCCGATTCTCCTTTACCGACTCTCTGTGCTTCCACTTCCGTATGCCCGACTAATGGCATTAGTGAGGCTCTTGTTCTCCTTCTTGTGGGGAGGCAAAGGCCGCTAAGGCATCTCGGGAGATCTGTTGCCTTCATCCATCTGAAGGCGGTCTGGTATATGCCTAGCATTGAGATTCGTCAATATATGCTTCGCATCGCGTTCCTAGATCGAATGTGTCGCGATTCGGATGAGGTGGGCGCCTTCTGGAAGGAAGACGCCCGTAAGAATTTCCCATCCCTGAGAAGTGTGCACTCGTGCGAGGAGGCTCCACCGTTTACCCTAATGGAATTCGAGTGCTCCTTCTATCGTGAATGTCGTCGTGCTCTGAAACGCCTCTTATGGGCGTCGGATGGCCTCTCCAACGCCCAGGCGTTGTCTCGTAAGGCATTATATCAGGTGTTAGTTAGTGGGGGGGGTCCGTTCGTGATGATCTGATTGACGAGCTCGGTCTTACGAAGCAGGAGGCTCGCTCGATATGGCCTTGGGCGCCTGGGTTGAAATATCTCAATAACGATGAGGCATCACTCACCTGGCTGGTGATTCGTTGGGCCCTCTGGGTCGCCAAAAGACTTTGTTCAGCGGGCTTGGAGAAATATCCAAACTGGGTTCGCTGTATGGGGAGGTCGAGACCATTGGTCACGCCTTTTTTCATTGCAGGGTGGTAGTGCCGTTGTGCAAGTTTGTTGAAGGCATCATGGCTCGCATGCTGCGCGGAAAGTTTTTCGTCCTCGAGGACATTTCTGTCTGTAGCAATGTGGTACCGCCGTTGACGAAGGCTGAACACTGTTCTTTTGCTTGCTAGGTGTTATGAGAGTCGTGATTTGGATGAAAAGTCAGAAGGGATTCTATGGAGGCGAGAAGTTCACTTCTTCCAAAATGATCTTGTACTTTAAGCATCAGCTTAAAGTCAAGATTAGGACGGAAAGGCGGCGGCTCCTTCATCAGAATTTGGCAAAAGGTGGGTGAATCTTGCGCGTTTGTGTCGAGTGAAAGGGGCTGACCTGGAGTGGCATTTTGATGCCGGTTAGGCATCAGGATATTGTTTTTCCTGGGTTGAACATTAGCAACCCTGCCCAAATTTAGGTTAATTTAGGTTTTTGTTTTTTTTTTTTTTAGTTTTTTTTTTTCAGTAAACTTAGCTAGGGTATGTATGCTCATTGGCCCCTTTTATTTCTGTCCCTATTTTTCTTTAGTTTAATTCCCCATCCCCTCCCCTCGTTAGGTGGTCAAAGTGATGTCAGTTCTCTGGTGGATGCGGGGCGCCTTTCGTTTTCGTGTGTGTTTTTTCGTATTTGTTGTTGTGTCTGAATGAGTGTGTGTTTGTGTGAGCTTGATGGATGAATGAATGTTTTTATTTTCTAGTCCCGCATTAATTTCGTAAAGTTAACTGATGTTTCTGCCACATT